AAACATTTTCAAAACCTCCCAGATTCCAAAAATAACCAGGCATGGAACTGGGATTGTTCTCTGATCCAAAATAACAAGAGTGAAAATAAACTAACCAACCTGCGTGCCATGAGCACAAACTCTGAGCTGGCCTGGTGAAACTCAGGTGCCTGCCAGGTGGGTCAAGAAACTGCACAAGAACCATTAAACTCACACCTCACACAAAAGAGATGAATTGTGGAGAGGAAAATAGTTCAATATGCACAGTTTTTTAAAAATCTCTATTATTCTCTCACAAAAGTCAAAGACTTCTCATTTTCATAAAAACTATCGCTGAAGTTCATATAGCAAGTTTTTGGAGCATTTCCACCATTAAAAAAAAAAAGGCATTATCTTTCTATTCTAGAGATAGTAAAACAATAGCAACCAATCTTCTCATTTTCTTGGTGGCCAGAGAGGAATACAACATATTAGCACAGGTAGACAGAGGGACAGTTAATTTTAAAAAGTACCTGAAGTAAATTTTTTAAAAAGTCTTATGGAGGGCTGGGGTTGTGGCTCGGTGGTAGAGCACTTGCCTCCCACATGTAAGGCACTGGGTTCAATCCTCAGCACCACATAAAGACAAATAAAACAAAATAAAGTTATTGTGTCCATCTACAACTAAAAACATATTTTTAAAAACTCTTATAGAAATATCTTCATTCAGTAAAATAAGGACAACATTCGAGGATTTTATGGCACTTTATATCTGAAATTACATTAATGAGTTTAGTGTGTTTGATTTCCAATTGCAATTAAAGTTCCATGGTTTTTCAAACTCTTCACAGTTGGAAAAATAAGAAGGTTTTGTGAATTTGTTTTGCTTTTTTGTTGCAGATAGTATGAATACAAGATAATATTTTTCCTCTGATTTTGCATGTTAATTTAATAGTCCTTTTCAATTCCCACTGGACTCATAGAGTAATAAAGCAATTTAAGTGATCAGGATGGGGAAAGGGAGAGAAGAAGAAAAGATATTGTGGAAACTGCCTAAACCAACTTACCATGGCTGAGAATGTATTTATTTCCCAGTTTACAAGGTTAGAAAGCCTTACTGTCTGTTCATGATTACCTTGCACCATCTTGACAAGGGCTCAATTCTAGGGTTCCTAAACCTTCTCTGGGTTTCTCAAAACTGTTGTAATGACCTCTATCCCTTAGCTACTTTTTATTTCCCCAGTCTGTATAATTCTAGGCTTTAAAAAAAAATCCTTATTAGACATAACAAAAAGTCTTTCCTATTGTCTAAAAGGCATAAAACTTTCATGTAAGAAGGATTTAAATTGAATTGATTCAAAATTTAACAGATTGTCCTCCCAAAACTTTCAAAACCTTCTAGCCCTCTGGAACAAGAAAATGGGGTCACAGCTATCCCACTCCTCAGTGTTTAGCCTAAAGAATAAAAGTCATCACACAATAGTGATACATGCATACCCAAGTTTATAACAGCACAATCCACAATAGCCAAACTATGGAACTAGGCTAGGTGTCTGTCAATGGATGAATGGATAAAGAAAATATGGCATATACACAAAGAAAAATGAAATTATGCCATTTGCAGGAAAATGGATGGAACTTAAGACCATCATGTGAAACAAAATAGGCTAAGCACTAGAAAGTCAAAGATTTTATGTTTTCTCTCATACGAAGAAGCTAGAGAGGAAAAAGGAAATGAAAGGTGAGGGAGATCAGTAGAGTAGAGCAGAGTAAAGGAATCAGGGGGAGGGAAGAAAGGAGAGAAAGGAGAAATACCTAAGAATGATATTGGCCATATTTAGATTGTTGTATTGTATGCGTGAATGAATGTATAACAATGAATCCCACTATTATGTACAGTTATAATGCACCAATAAAAATTTAGAAAAAGAAAATGGGGTCAGTAAACATTTTACATCCAAAGATTTGCTTATATATTTTTTTCCTATAGAAAGAATGTCTATAACGCTTCAGATTTTCATGTATCTGTGCCCCCACAAAAGGTTAAAGCATTGCTACTATCATGGATTTGGGGGATCTGCTTTATGGCCATGGTCAAACTCTGTGGCAGATTAAATGTCACAGTACAGTAGGCATTTAGCTCAAGTAACAGCATTAACTACTGGAGGATATGCCTGAGAAAACTTGGGGTTCTGTGTAGGGTGTGGGAGTCAGAGTGAAAGAATTCCAGTAAAAGTTCTACTACTAACTTGATGGCTGAAGTTTGCAAATCACCTCCTCTCTCTGGGCTGCAGATTACACATCTCAAAAAAAGTTAAGGAGTTGCACTAAATCTGTGGTTTCACACCTGACCAGTGATCCCTTGTAAAACTCGGGATCACTGGGCCCCAGCCACCAACAATTGACTCACTTAGAGTGAGAACACTGGAATTTGACTAATATTTATTTATTTATCCATTTATTTACTTATTTTTGTACTGGAGATCAAGTCCAGGGATACTTTACTACTAAGCTATATCCTTAGCCTTTTTGCTTTTTATTTTGAGGCAGACTCATGCTAAATTGCCCAGCTAGCCTCAAACTCTCAACTCTCCTAAGCAGCTAGGACTACAGGCATGATCCACCATGCCTGGCTTAGAATCTGACTTCTTCAAGAAAGCTTCTCTAGACATTCTGTTATCTCCTAGGTGTGAAAACTATCGTGGCAGACACTCTAGGGTTACATCTAGCTTTAAATTTTTGAATTTCCATTAAACTTTCCATTAATATTTGCTATTAATATTAGCTACTAATACTAATATTTCAAAACTAATATTTTGAAAATCTGGATCATCATGAATGGTTATTAGAATGAATATATCATGGTACCCTTTTAAAAACATAAGTGATTGATAACCACATGAAAAATATTTATTTAGAGAATTTATCATAGCACAAGGAAATTACTATCACATATATAACATATGTATAGCACATATATTGTGTGTATGTGTGTATGCATGTATGAACTATACTTGATTCTGCTTGATTCTTGACCATCAGTGAGTTTGGTGAAAGATGAGAGAGAGTGACTTCAGGTCATTGAAGCAACAAAAAGCAAGAGGAATAAAAGTATATTGCATGCCACTTTAAAATACATGATTTCATTCAATCCTTGTAGCAGACAACCTGTGTTCATTTTCTTTCTCCTAGTCTTATAACCATGAGCAAGTCATTTAATTCTGTCTAGGCCTTTTGTTTCCTCTTCAGCAAAATGGAAATTAAAAATACCTATCTCATGGAATTGCAGTGAGAATTAATGGACACAATGCCTGGGAAACACTTATCAGGGTGCTTATCACATGATGAATACTTAAATAATTAATAGGTAATGGAATGATAAATAACTGTGATGTTGGCTGTGAGATCTTACTACTCAATGTTTGCTCTGTGGCCAGCAGCATCAGTACTACCTGGCAGCTCACGAGAAATTGATCATTTTGGACCCTACCCCAGACACCTACATCAGAAGCTGCATTTTACAAGATCCCTGTGAGATTCATATGCACATATATATTTGAGTAGCACTGAGACAGTAAAACAACTTGAGACCCAGTGACTCGACAGAATGTATACCACTACTAAGCCAGGGTACTGAGGGCACACCCAAATCAGAAAATCCTAAGGTCACCATCTCTGTCTTTGGGCTTCTATGGCCTGGCAGTATTCAGACTTCCTAAATCCACTGTGATGTTCTTTCTCTAGTCTAAGCTGTAACTGAAATGCTTTGTGAAACACATTTTCATGTCTACCACAGTAACAAGAGCATCATAATTTTGTTTAATTTTTCACATTTTTAATTATTCAGCTGTTTTATTTGTCACCATTTAGGGAATTATTACAAAACTTATGTCTAAAATGCTTCTGATTAATGCACACTTAGGCAGCTAAACAGATGTAGAATGGGTTGACTGCTTTGATAAAATTAAACATTGATGAAACATATATTTGCACAGCAATAATGATGACGGCATTTGTATAAATAATAACAGATCTATTACCCTAATCATCTAGGAGAAAAAAATGATGAGACAGTGACAGAATTACCAAATATGTCTGGCTTACTAAGCGGATCATTTTCAAGTGCATTTTTTTGCATGTGAATAAAATTATGATAATTTATAGCATCTACAACCACATTAAAATGAAAGTAGTATAATTAGGCAAAAAAATATCATGTGGATGATACCAGAAGCATATTTCCAGGACATGTTAAATTTCCAGAGCTTCTGTATACATAATGGAAGGTACAGGTTTTCCATACAGCCTTCCCCAGTACCATAGTTTAATTTTATAAAATATGTGTCCCAAGATCAAAGTTTTAAGTATTCTAAAATGCTTATTAATATTTAATTTCTCCTCACACATTTTAGCATCTCTGAAATTGAAAAGTGTTCATCTTCCAATCGATGACATGTCACAATTGCTGGGCAACATTTATTTTTTTCATTCTTGCAACCAAGGGGATCTTGGATTCAATTAAATAGGGGATTAGGATGCCTAGTAAACTTAATCCTCGTCCACAAGGTACATTATAGCAGGGAAACAGGTGGGGCAGGAGGAGATATCATCCTCCCACCAGAATTCAAGCAAGAGGGGGAGGTAGGTAAATAGGAAGTAATGAGATTAAATAAGAAAAGAATCCACAATATGAAAAGAACTTAACATAAGAATAGGAAAGGGAAATGGGAAATGAAAACTAAAGGAGTGGAAAAGAAGGATGAGATGGTCAGTGTATCCTGTGGTAGACATTCAGCTTGACATTCTTTTTTTCATTATGCAACACTGGTCAGTTCAGGTCCTAGAGAGTGAGGTGGGAGACATGTTTTCAGCACTTTGGGGAAGGCATTTTCTTCTCCTTAGCCTACCCAAATAGCTGTACAGCCAACCACACGCATACACTCCCTGAAGATTCCCTCTCTCCTCTATCTCCTACCTTTTATCCATCCAAAACCACCAGGAGAGGCTGAAGTGATTGTTAAAACTTGTGTTTGTTCTTTCAGGTGATATCAAGATTATCGAACAAATCCACAGTCTCACAGGTATGGCTTTTGCTAAAGAGCGCAATATTTATCTAAAATTGGGAGGATGTCAGACATATCTTCCTTTCCCTTCAGGGTTTTATACATTTACTTTTTACTTTCCCTAATCTACTTCCCAATAAGAGAAGTGGTAACTGACTTTTTTGAGAAGAGAGTGTAAAGAAGTATTTAAACTCATCTCTCTGTGGAAATGATTTATACTGTTATGAAGTTGTTTATTATCAACATCTAACAGGAATAACGAATATTGAGGTATTGATTTTTATAAGTACTTTCCTTTCATTTAAAACTGACAGTCAAGTTTTTCTTGTAAGTATTTATAATATTAAAAATCTGGTTCAGAAATGGTCTGGAAATAGGGTTTTTTTAATATATGTGACCTCTTAAGACAGTCCCAATTTTAAATACCCTCCACTTGCATGGAAAACTTTTGAAACAGCAATTTGTCTGATTTATTAGCTAGACGTTCATTACCAATAACCTTAGGATAGTGTTTTTGTCAGATTTTTAACCACTGTGACCAAAAGACCTGACAAGAATAATTTTAAGGAGGAAAAGTTTATTTTGAGACTCACAGTTTCAGAGGTCTTAGTCCATAAATAATTGGCTCCATTCCTTGGGACCCAAGGTGAGGCAGAGCATCATGGCAGAAGGGTATGGTAGAGGAAAGCAGGTCAGGACACGTCCTTAAAAAAAACAAAGAGAGATTGACTCTTCAGGAACAAAATATATACCCCTAAGCCATGCCCCCAGTGACCTACCTTCTCAAACCACACCCTACCTGCCTTCAGTTATCACTCAGTTAATCCCTACTAGGGGATTAATTCACTGATTGGGTAAAGGTTCTCATAGCCAACCATGTCACCTCTAAACCTTCTTGCATTGTCTCACACATGAGCTTTTGGGGGACATCTCATATTTAAACCATAACAGATTGGAAGCCTACAGACAGCAACTTTTCTTGCTTTGTGTCTTCCTTGAAGCAGAAACCAATAACTTTAATACACACACACATACAAACACACACACACATACACACAACACACAAATATATCTAATTACACATTTATTTTAGTCAGTTTTGGTCACTGTGACCAATATACCCAATAAGAACAACTTAGAAGGAGGAAAAGTTTATTTTGCTTCCCAGAAGTTCAACTTATGGTTGGCTGACCCCATTGCTCTGGGACCAAGGTAAGGAAGAGTATTGTAGCAGAAGGGCTTGGTGGAAGAAAACTGCTTAGTTCATGACCGCCAAGAAGCACAGAGAGCTCTGCTCACCATGGACAAAATATAAACCTCAAAGACACACCCCCTGTGTTCTACTTCCCTCAGTCACGCCCTACCTGCCTGGAGTTGCCACCCATTAATTCACTAACATTAGTAATCTACTGATGAGGTTACAGATCTCATATTCTATTTATTTTACCTGTGAACATTCTCCATTGTCTCACACATGATCTTTCAGGGGACACTTTATCTACAAACAATAACATTCTGCCCTTGGCCTTTGAATAGCCCAAAAGCTCATGCCCATCTCACAATGCAAAATATATTCAGTCCATTTTCAAGATTTTTACCATAGTCTTCAAGAGTTCCATCATTGCCCAAAAATTCGAGTACAAAATATCATCCGAGACTCAAGGCAGACTCCTGACTGGGAGCCCCTATAAAGATCAAAAGCAAGTTACATATATACAATAATAATGGCACAGAGTAAACATTTCCATTCCAAAAGGGATAAATGGGGGCATGGAAAGAAGGGATGAAACCAAAGGAAAACCAGAATTCAGCTGGGCAAATAAGTCCTATAGCTCCACATCCAGCATCTGAGGCACATTACATCATGATTGTTCCCTCTAAAAGGCTTGTGTAGCTCTTCCCTGTGACCTTGCTGGTTGTAGCCCATATGGCGTCTCTCTTGGATTGTTTTCTGCAGATTTCCTATGCAGATGTTCTAAATCTCTGGCATCTCTTAATTATGGGTGTCTCCACCACAGCTTTGACTTCCTTCTCACATCTTCATGTATTGCCCTCTCAGGGGCTGCCTACAGGGATTCTGACCCTGATGCACTTTGGCCTACCAAGTCCTCCTTTGAAATCTTGGTAAAAGCTTCCATGAAGCCCCAACTCCAGAATCCTGCATTCCTGTAGAACCAGCACCATAGAAATGACACAAAGTATCTACTGCCATATCAAGCAGTAACCAAGCCTCCTACAGCTGCAGCAACCTGAGTACCTGGGCAGCTGAGCACAGTGAAATAACATTGTAGGCCCCCCTGTATAAGCAGGGTGCTCCCATGATCTCTTCTCAAAGGAATTTTCACTCTTAAAGTCTTGAATCTGTTATGGATATGGTTTTACCAATTCCTGAGATACCTTCAACCCATCTTTTCTATTGCATCTTTGTAAAGTACTTTTGTGACTACAATCTCTGTAACAACCACACCTCTTTTGGCTCCAGTTTGACACACACTTTTCTGGCCAAATTGAAAGTTTTAAAAATCTTTCCTTTCTGTTTTCTGTTTCTGATTATCAACATAAACTCAGCTAAAACCAGCAATATGCCACTATGTAAATGCTGTGCTGCCTCAAAATGTCCCCCACCAAATTAATTTGCCCATCACCTTTAAATTCAGCCTCACAGAAAATCTCAGGATCTTGGAAAAATGTAGACAACTTTTTTTTTTTTTTTCAGAATATAACACAGATGGCCTCTAGTCCATTTCAAATAAATCCTCCTTCTCCTCTGAAACCTCATGAGCCCAGTCTTTACTGTCTACAGTCCTATTGGTCTTCTTGAGTCCCACCAGAATCACCAATTAAGCTCTGATTACAACATTCTAGGCTTGCCCAGCCTGCATCTCCAAACTTTTCAAAAATTCCTACACAAACCAGTTCTAAATGCTTCCAAACCCCTTAGGTTAGTCTCAAAAACAACCCACTTCCAGGTACCAATTTCTGTTTTACTCATCTTTGTGTCACTATGACCATCGTGCCCAATAAAACCAACTTAGAGGAGGAAAAGTTTATTTTGACTCAAGGTTTTAAAAGTTAGGCCATGGTTGGCTGACTTCATAGCTCTGGACCCAAGATGAAGAATATCATGGCAGAAGGTTTGGCAGAGGAAAGATCCTCAACTCATGACAACCAGAAATTAGAGAGAGTGGAGAAAGTGTTTTGCTCACCAGAGACAAAATATAAACCCCAAAGGAACATCCCCAGTGGCCTACTTTTTCCTACTATACCCTACCTACCTACAGTCATCATCTGTTAATCCGTTCAAATTATTAATCCACTGATTAGGTTACAGCTTTCATTATCTGATCCTTTCACCTCCTAACATTTCTGCATTGTCTCACACATGAGTTTTCAAGGGACTCGTATCTAAACTATAGCAATATGACAAAGACATTGATAATTTAATGATGGTGGGGTGGGGGACAAACAGTTTACTTTTAATATTACATCAGAAAACTTCTTAAAAGCTCTTGAAGCCTCTCAATGCTTTCAACCACACTTCTCTTTGAAACTAGTTAAATTTTCTCTTTCATCTCTACAAAATCCCTCATCAAAAAACAAAATGGTCTTTCAGTTTCAACTCTTCTCACCAGACAGCTTTTCCTCACAATAGCACAAACTTTCACCCAGACCTTTTAAATTCTCTCCTGCAAGTTGAGAAATTTGGCATTTTGTTTGGTTTTTTTTATCAAGTGGATTTCTCACCCTTTTGTAGAACTGTAAAGATCAGGAACCCTTCCAGTAATACTACACACTTAATTTTCAAAAGTAAATTCTGGATAATTTAGGCTGATGTTCATTTGCAATGTTAAAAATCACCAGAAGAGCCGGACGCAGTGGTACATGCCTGTAATCCCAGCGGCTCGGAAAGCCAGGACAGAAGGATCAGGAGTTCAAAGCTGACCTCAGCAAAAGTGAGGCATTAAGCAACTCAGTGAGACCCTGTGTCCAAATAAAATACAAAATAGGGCTGGGGATGTGGCTCAGTGGTCAAGTACCCTTGAGTACAATCTCCTGTACCAAAAAAAAAAAAATCACCAGAAGAGGTTTAAAGACAATAGATGTTTATTTCTGTCTATTGGAAAGTGCAGAAAAGAAATATACCTATTCCAGTGTGTCCACAGGGTCCCTAGATTTCTTCCTTCTGCTTCATCTGCCTCAACATATGGCTGTCTTTTTCAAGATATCCTTATTCTCCAAGATGGCTGCTGAATATCCATCTATTTTATCAATATTTGAGACTGGAAATCAAAGAAATATGAAAGAATGGAATAGAAGCTCCCTATTCTAGTGTCTTTCTAAAAGTTCCTCAGAACCTATTTGCTTATATGCCATCATCCCTGAATGTGACCTTATGGCCAAACCAACTAGCTGGGGAAGCTGGGAAAAGGTTATCTATGGGTAGGGTGCATTGCTAACAGTTATGTTAATAGATAGGAGGGAAAATTTCATGGAAATAAATAACCAGCACCTGCCCTGATATACTTTTTTCATCTTCTTCATGGGCTAGTGTTTATTCAGCTTTTTCTTTGTCATTGTTCTGTGCTTAATTTCTATTATTTGATATCTAATATTTTCCTTACACTATTCCTAATTTACAAGTGAAGAAACAGATTTTTAGTAATCATATTTCCCAAGAATAAGAACTCACTTATAACTAGAAAGGACTTCTAGAACTCTTTGACTAAAACTCCCTGCATTCAACCTCATGACTTTGTTCTGCTTCCTCTGTAATCAAGAAAGGTTTGTCTGGGCTGGGATTGTATCTCTGCGGTAGAGCACTTGCTTAGCATGTGTGAAGCACTGGGTTCAATCCTCAGCACCATATCAATATACATAAATAAAATAAAGGTATTATACCATCTACAAATGAAAGTATTTAAAAAGGAAGAAAGGTTTGTCTAGTCATTTCTAAGTTTAAAGTGGCTATTCCAGCGAAATGTTATGAGCCAAATTTGAGAGTCCTTTAACAATGAGTATAAAAATCTCATTGCCTGCATGAAAACATTTGCTAGAAAGAGAATAAGGGATAAATCAAATGAGGAAGAGATCCATGGCTGAGTTTTAAAGCAGTATGTAACAGGTGAATCCAGCTACATAAGGGAAGCAAGTATTTTTATATAGATTACCTGAAAAAAAGTAACTGGTTCTCCTGCATAGAGGCTAAAAATATAGAGCTGGGTGTCTAATCGAGTTATTATTAATCTAATAAACTTCAATCCTGTCTACAAGGATGTAGGTAGGATAATTCATTCTTGGTATAAGTAATGCCGGGGGCCTTGATTGCAAGACTCAGTTTCTGAGCAACTTCTCCAAGGCACCAACTCCCTTTGACAACATGGAAGTATGAAATTTAAGGAAATTTGTAGAAGTACAGACATTTGCCAGGTCATTAGTCAGATGATTGTATTAGAGCCATGAAGGCTTGAAACAAAGGAATGATGAAATTGTCAGTATAAACACAAATAGTTGTCTAATTAGAGAATGTATTCAATGTGTTTCATTTCTTTGTTAAGTTTGCCCTGTTGTGTCTTTAGCTGGGTAAGCTAAATTTTCTATTCTACCATACTAGTACACAAATGTTCTCCTATAATTCTGTGTGGTTCCAATTTTTGTTAGAACAGAGTTTTAAAAACTATGAAAAAACAAACAAATGAAAGCAACACCAAGACTATCCAAGAAAGAACATACGCCTTTACCATCAATTAAAATAATTATATCTAGTTGGAAATGGGACTCTAGGAATACTATTTCATTGAGAAATTTTGAGCCATTTAGATTAAAATAACAAAAAAAAATTCACGAGTAAACCAATCATTTGTCGCTATATCCTAAACTGAATGACCTACCTGTGAGTCACAATTGTTTGCTGTGTCTGTCATTAACAACTATTGTAGATAAATTTGAACACCCCAATGAACAAACTATCCACTGAAGTCATAACTATAACAGCTCATGAGATTTAAATAATAATCTTAGGGATTTTCAGCTTTTAATCTTATTTTCATTAAAAATATTTGTAAGCATGTGTAAGTGATGATATCTTCAAAAGAAACTGAGACACCTAAAAATGAATTGACCTTTTAGAATAAACTGACTTCTGAACATGCCCAGAGAAACTAAGCTATGTTGGGGTCAGAGCAAGAAACTAATATAAAAACCTAAAAACTAATACTAAAAACTAGTATAAAAACATAAATTAGTGGCTCTGTTCAGAGTTACTAACCTAATTGACTAATATAAATATACATTTATATATATATATAAATGTATATTGTTATATACATATTATATATGTATACATATTATATATATATGTAAAACTCGTCACTATAATAATAATGACTCTGTTCAGAGCCACTAGGTTAGTTTTCGCTGCCATCTCTGCCCTACATCTCCACCAGCACCTCAGTTGTCTTTTCCCATCTTCTCTCATTATTATTCTTAGCCTACAAGTTTGAATGACCCTAGTCAAGAGTCTAGTGATCCTAGGATGGATTTTGGCAAGACTAATCTTCCTTCTTTCCTCAAGGACTTTCAAGGGAGCAGATCTGGCAGTTTGTTCCATTTCTTGTTCACAACTTACGACAATAAAGAGAGCAGGAAATAGAATAGCTGAGGACACTTCTGATTTCTTTTCTCTCCATGTGACCCCAAATAGCCAAGGTTTTTATTCTCAAGGAAAATATAAACTTGATGGTTGATCACCATGTAAAGTTCCACTAAAGACCTTGTAATTTGAAATAACAAAGCCAAAAACCTCCATTAAAATAAAATTTAAAAATCTTTATTCCTAACAGCATGTCCTCACATACTATTTCAAGTGACTAGAGTATTAAAATCTAGGTGCAAACTAGGTGCAAATAAAATTCACTTTTCACACATCTCTCAGTTTAAGAGACCAAGCAAAGTTTGGGGGGAGCTAAAACCAGGAAAGCAGAGGGGGCAAACCTGGAGCTCACAAATGGGGAGACTTTTTAACACCTGAAATAAATTCTAGGAAACTTTGCAAAGACTTCAGTTTTAATGAGTAGTACCCCACTCCCAAAGAGATTTGACTTTGTTCACTGAGGCCTACAGCATGAATGATATGCCTCTTAAGAAGTCTTTGCCATCTGTACTGATCTACTTTATCCTCTAATTCAGTCAGAGCCCAAGGGAAATGGCAGCATCAACAAGAGACTCCCATCCATTGTGGAAGATGAGGAAGAGGAAGAGGAGGGGGAGGAAGAGGAGACAGCCTCCCTCTCTCCCATCTACACAAGGGGATCCTCCTCTTCACGCAGCAAGAAGATGGGAAGCAATAAAAGCTATCTAGGCCTAAGCTTAAAGCAGCTGGCCTCAGGAACTGTGCCATTTCATTCCCCTATAAGAGTCTCCAGTTCAAATTCCCCCAAATCCAAGCAAGAGACTGACCCCCTTAACCATGGTAAAAGGAAAGAGAAGAACTTGAAATTGCAGCTTTCCACTTTGAATAGTGCTGGACCCCCAGACCTCAGTCCAAGGTAAGAGTTATATAACTCTTTTCCCTGCAGAAATGGCTGCCTTTAGTAAAGATTGGTAAATTACTCAGCCTTCGGGGCCTTTCTACTACATAGAAATTCTTAAGCACCCCTGAGCTTTGTGTGTGATTTTTTGAAGTGTAAGCACAGACATGTGTATGGTGTGAGAAGAACTAGTTTTAGGAATATTCTCAAAAGGACCCATTGAATGGTCAGCCTTCCTCTCTACTCCCTTTAGATTCATTGAGCTCTATGAGGTTAAACGTATATTTCTACGTTGTGATTTCATGATTATAAATTTATAATGAAAATAAAAGTCCATCAATGTTATCTCCTTAATGCCTGATTTTACCAAAAGTTTCATGGGACAACAAGTTGAAATTATGAAGAAAATGAATTTTTATTTTTCATACTTTTTACAAATAAATTACTGTGGATAGCTGGAGCTTAGTTTTATTTCTAGTTTCTTCAGTGGGTAACATAGCTTCATTGTTAGTTAAAAATAAAATCACTTTGGAATTATCCAAAGGTGATTGAGAAGGTGAAAATTCCTGACTTGGAAAATGTCAAAGGGGGCAGGATATGATGTATAAAAGGAACAGCAATCATCAAAACTTCCTAAGAGCTGAATAATTCAGAGATGCAAGGAAAAAATATTGAGAGCTTTCGATGTATTGTGCTAGGTAATTTCACGTTCATTGTTGCACTTAGTCTTCTTGAACTCTTATAAAGTAGTATGTATTATCTCTACTGTAAAATTGCAAGAACTACAACTCAAAATTTAAATATTTTCCCCAAGATCTCAGAGATATACAGTTTTACAAACTGGGTTCAAATTCTGTTTTACTACTTATAAACCAAGTGACCTTTCTGACATACTATACATTTATTGATTCACTTAGGGAATACATTTTAACCATTAAGAGAGACTATTAAGAAAAATATAAGCAAAGCAGGGTTAGTAAAAAGTAAGTGGACATTAAGTTTTTGGAATTCAATTGGAAATGGTGATTTGAAAACATTACTCAATTCTTCTCCTTTCTAAATTTTTACTGAAATGAAAATGGTAAATTTTAAATGGAGAATGTATCAGACCTGGAAAATAAAGATTTATGTATTATATGAGGCTATATTTATAAAAATAAAAATGTTCTACTATATAGAGAACAAGGTTTTGAGACATTGTGCCAAAACTTGAGAGTAATGGTAAATTACAAGTGATTTTTATTTTCTGATTTTTTGTAACCTTTATGTCTAAATTTTCTACATTAGACTTATTGATACAGTAATGAGTGAGTTAGATATTTACCAAGGAAAGAAGACTAGCTCAAGTTCTGATAGTAATTTAATATAATTCTTTAACTCTCAGAGTTTTGCTCAAGTTAGAGTGAAGACATCATCAAACTTATTTTCTGTGATGCTATAATTATTAGGTTAGAATATTTTCTGCAGGATAGAGTATTGATTTAAGATAAATTGAGATGAAAGAATTTTGTGCATATTTTTTAATCTGAGTTTCGATTCTGAATCTGACTTTTGAATCTGAGAGCAAATAAAATAATAAATTCCACAATATTGATGTCCAGTGTAGGTAAAGTGTAAGCTAAAATCTTGAACCACATATGTAATTTTAAAATTTTTGTGGCCGATGAGATTATATTTTTAAATATTCTATACAATATATCCCAAATATTATAATTTCAAACGCGTGCTATATAAAAACTATTAACAAAATACTTTGCATTCCTTTTTTAAAACTAATTCTTCACACCCAGTGTGCATTTTATACTTAATATAAAGTGTGTACTAGAAGCACTTCAGTTATTTTAGTCGTATAAGGCAAATGGCTCCATATTAGAACAGACCCACAGTATTTAGAATTTAGAAATTTAATATAAAAATCCTTTAAGTCTTTTAAAAATACTGGAACTTATGCACATCAATGCATAACATTTCTCTTTATTTTAAATAGGATTGTTGATGGAATTGAAGATGGAAATAGTAGTGAAGAAAGTCAGACTTTTGACTTTGGTTCTGAACGAATCAGGCCAGAGTCCAGAATTTCTCCTCCTCTTGGGGGTAAGCTCTTTATTTACTTTTTATTTACTCTTCTCTGAAGGAGTGATAGTTCTTTTTAACTTGCAATGTTTGGCATTGGCTTTGGGGTAAAAATCACTAGTCTCAAATTTCTGCTGCTCAACAGATGGTACTCACGATGTCCTATTATAAATTCAAACTAATTCGCAAAAACATTATTTAGAAGAAATGCTATATTGGTTGCGCACGGTAGGTACATTGGCATATTAGCCAATTTATCTGGCGAGAGGTTAGGTACTTGCAACTTGTCAGAATGATATAAGCAAGATGGAAATGATAGAGAAATTTTGAAAACACCTCTAATGTTGATGATTGAATGTAAACATACCCCAACCCAACCCCTTTCTTTCTTTTTCTCTTTCCCTTCCTTCCTTCCTTTCTTCCTTCTTCTCCCTCCCTCTCTCCTTCCACCTCCCCCTCTATCTTGAGTTCATTGCCCATAGAAAAGAATGGGCAGAATGAATGAAGGCCAGAAATGACAAATAAATCTAAAAGTTCAATCCCTGGTACCAAAAAGAAAAGAAAGAAAAATGGAGAAGAAAAACTAAGAAATGGGAAAAATTACCTTTTAGAGTAACATGGAAAGAAACAGAAACCAGGTAGAAGAAATCCATCCCTGAAAATATTCTCATGAGCATAGAAAGCAATGTTTGGAAAAGAAAGAGGAAAAGAAATGGGCACTGACTGATATATTTTTAGAGAATGTATCATCTTAGAACACAGTGGTGATTGTGCCCAGAAGGATCACTGTAGCCAGAGTCATCTCCATGTTGTATGCCTGGTTCTAAAGAGAATATCAAGCAGCATTCAGAGAAGTACAAGAAACTTACCTGATTTGGGGAAAGTAGGACCCACAGTGCATTTATATCAGGAGAGGTTTAAGATGATAGTTAGGCGTTCCTTCTGGTTGCCCCAATCCTCAAATATGAAGTTTGTTTCTCAAGAGCTCATTCTGTATATGTCTCTTTTCAGACCCAGAGATTGGAGCTGCTGTTCTCTTCATCAAAGCAGAGGAGACCAAACAGCAGATAAACAAACTCAACAGTGAGGTATGGAACTCTTTGTTGGTCATGCTGGAGCAGTAAGAGGAACTATAAATCCTAGTTAGCAGCAGAAGAGTATATGATAGCAGTTATAAATATGTGCTCCTGTGTTAACCCATCATGGTGAATCTCTATTTAGCTCCATATGAGCTCTGTGACCTTTGACAAGTCTCTTACCCTCTATCATGCTCCATTTTCTCATATATAAGAAGGGGAAAATAATAGTGCTGTTATGCTCGAATTCAGGACCCCCAAAGACCACCAGAGACCCAAGACCAATGCAAGCAGCAAAGAGGTGTTTATTGAGAGCTAGCTCGGTCCTCCGCGCACACACACAGCAACTGGTGAGGCTGAGAGGCCCCGAGCCCAGGGTTTGCAGCAGTTTTGTACATTCTTTGGAGAGGGCAGGGACTTCACATACATCATAGCCTCTTTTAGCAAATCATCACACACCTTGGGAAAATCAAATAACAACTCTAAAACATGATTAGCACATTCACTGGCAGGAACAAGTTGGGTAGGGGTGATTGGTCAGTACAAAAGGGGTATTCATTTGAACTGATTGGTTTAAGCCAAGAGGGGTGTACGTGCTGAACTACATGGTTTCCCAACTTGTTATCAACCACCATAAACCACTGGGAGGGTCATCTGGCATCCCAGGTATTTCCCTGTCTCATGCTGATTGGTGGCTGCTAGGGGGCTGCTATGGATCCCCACCTAGCCTGACTGAGTCAGGGACACCTGGCGCAGCAGATCTCTCCTGTTATTTGTAGATAAACAACTTAGCAGGGTGGGAATGTGCCTAGGAGTGCTCTGTGGGTTTTTCCAAGGACAAAGGCCATGTCCCTTCCTTGGACAGGCTTTGCTCTGAGATAGAGGCTGGTTTTTCAGTGCTACCTTTTGGTCCATTGTGAAATTAAATGAAACAATCTAAATAAATCATTTAGCATAAAGTAAGCATTAAATACATGACAACTATTATAATTGCTATAAATATAGTATTTAATTGCAATTGTAATTTTTTGTGTCTATTTTTAATGAGCTAAAGCAAGATCATTATGCCATGAGCAGTCATTATCGACTCAGTCTGAGGTACAGTTAGATTCAATCAAATCTATTTTATTAATGCTCATCATACTTCAGACACACATCTTAATTCTAAGTCCTGAGTCTACACCCAAGGGTCCCAGACGCTCACTTGTGTCTTAAGTCTCGGTCACTGTAACTTGATCGGGGCCAGAGGAGTCGGGTACGGGGGGACAACAGCGGTAGAGATCTCAGTCTCTCTGTTCGGGTCTGGTTAGTCCTGTCACCCCTCAGAAGTCTGGGCTTTTAAGTCCTAGTTCAGTTGTGCTTGCAACTGATAAATGGTTGAGGCCTGGGCTGTATGCTCCAGATGTAGACTCTTACGACTCTTACATCTCTAACTTAAGTCTAAGTTCTGCAGTTTAAGTGTTGCAGTTCACATTACATCATGGGTGCTTTGCTTATAGTCTTTTATCCAACACACACACACACACACACACACACACACACACACACACTAATTAATATAATCAACAGTCAATAATCCTATAATATTTCTGGTACTCATATCACATTACACAGGAGAATGCTTATACCACCAGTTATCAGTGATGAGTTCTGCTTCCTCAAATGTTGAAGCCTGAACATAAAGTGCCAAGGCAAGCATAGAAAGCAGGTTTTATTTAAAAGGTAGTAACGCAGACTTCCCCCCAGAGGGAGAAGGGAGCCATAGCTGGTATCCCAAGTAGTGAAAGCATCTTGCCCCTTCTGTACATTTTAGACTTTCTTTGTTCTCCTGCCCTCTTCCCTTTTATCTTTCCCCTTCCTGCCTACGTGACTAGGCCCAAGAGATGCCAGTGGTATGGCCAAAAGGTGAGAAGCAGATTGGCAGGGGGAAGAGCCAAATGGAGTGATCCAGGCAGGAAGCAGCCCAGGAGGCATTAATTAACAATTCCCTGACTGCAATCTTTTGGGAGGGATAGTATAGGCAGGTAACCTCAGTAATCAAGGTGCTTAGCAGACATTAACATTCCAGTCTCCCAGGGCGGCCTCCAACTTCCTGGACCCAAATCAGCCTCCATTTTCTCCATCCCACCCAATCACCTATCTACATTAATCCTCTGTCTTTAATTTTGGCTTCACTACTTCGCAGATCAATCACATTATCTAAATTCTGTTCTTATCTCTGACAGGTATTTGCTGTGTAACCTTGAGCACTTTAACACTCTGGATCACTATCTATCCATGTAAAATCAAGTAATTGTTTAAACACCTTTATTAAAGTATATGTATATATCAGAAGATTCTCCCATTTTCAGTTATAATTCAATTATTTTTAGCAACTTACATTGAGTGATTTAACCATCACTCTAAGTCAGTTGTAGAATATGTCATCTCTCTCCAATAATCTCTCTCGAACAAATTTATATTTAATCCCTATTCCCATGTCCAGCCCTAGATGGCCATTTAGATACTTTCTATTTTGATTAATTTTTTTTCCTTTTCTGCCCATCTTATATACAGAAAGAAACAAGGATGTTCCTTGATTATTGCCTTCATTTGAATTTCTTCCCCCAACCGATAAACTAAAACAAATTCTGAGACACTTTGGATGCTAGTAACTATTTGAGAGGTGATCTAGGAAGTGTGGTAGAAAAACAGAAGACAGAAAATATTTTGAAGGCAAAATATGAGGTTGTGTTAATGAGATAGTTAAACTGTGGACGATTGGGACCCAGTCCTTCTGGGGACCTCTGAGAGACTGTAGGACAACTCAAAATTGTTCCACAAAGAAGCAGAGTTATGTAGTCCTCACTGCAGAGGAGACTAGAAAAATTCCTCAGGAGGAAGATGCAGAAGCACCTTCAGGGAGACCTTGGAAAGGACATGTGGGCACATACAGTATAATAGAATTCCCCTTCAAAGGCTAAAGCTGTATGAAGACATCTTGGGGGAAAATGGAACCATGTGATGGTCTAGATGAGATTTTTAAAAACATGAAATTCGTATTATGACAATTAACTTCCAATTATCTGTATTAATGGAAGACTGGTTAGCTTGTCATAAAATCCTAAGTTTTCTTTTAAAACCTGTATTTCTTCAGCATAATGAAGATTTATGTTTAGCTGCCATCTCTGCTCCCACACTTAATGTCTCTGGAAGTGAGATTGTTGCTAACAAGAAATAAGAAAGCCAAAGGGCAGACTAACAAGACAGAAAGGCAAACTTGGAGATCTGCTAACTGGATTGAAAGTTCTTAAAGCATAAGGACTTGGCCAGACACTGTATCACCCAAACAACCTCTCATTAGAAACACGTCAAAAACAAAAGAAAGCAAACTGACCAACGTGCTGAAGAACTGTACATTAACTTTCTATTGAACAGTTTCTCGCAGATATTGTTCCCGGCTGAAACCATCCATTAATATCTGAATTCTTTCCTCTCACATATAAGAGCATTTTATGATTTTATCAGTTAATTAACCTATTTCTGAGCTCAGATATTAGAGTTAGTGATTCTTCAGGGGGGGAATGCTTATATCTTCACCTCTTAATGTAGATAATTTTTCTAAGTTAGATCTACAGATCTACACACTGTATTATTTTCCTTTGACAACATAGATCATTGGTAGATCTGATAAAACAGATAACCTACTGAAAATATTTCCACAGTGTGATTATGTAATCATGATTGCTTTTCTAGTGAGATGACATGAATATTTTTATCCTGTCATACACAGAAATAAAAAGGTCAAGATAAAATACCAATGGTCCAGTTATCCTTCCATAAAGAATTAATTTCTCTTTCAAGTGAAATATCTAATTTTCTCATGATTGAAACATAAGCAGAAAAATCTTATCCGTTACACATGATGTATACAATCTTGATCCTTTGGGTAGTACCTTAAAACCCACTAAGACAGGCAAAATGAAAATACAACTTGGCTTCAAACTATGAAAGTACCCCTCTTTTAACCTGCTGTTTGTGTTTTCCTTACAATTTTGTTTATGTAGAAAAAAATTTTTAAGTCCAAGCCTCATTTTCCATTTTGCCTATTTCCTAATACTCATATGTGTGATAAGTAGATTGCTCTATTTGATTGTTTATTCTATTCATTGGTTAGTATCAAGCAAGAAAATGTACGGGATGTACTGCATGAAAATAACTCTACCATCAAAAGGGCAACCCCAATATAATGTATGTGGGGCATTGGGTGAGGTCTGAGAGCACTGCAGAATTCCTATTCTGATGTTTGTTCTCCAATTTAAGATAAAAAGAAGTTTCTCATTGATGTATAGAATTCATAATCATAATTGCATAGCAAACGTAGAGCAGGAAAAATATTGGTCAAAAACCTACATTCACAGAACAGTAAAGAGCGTTTAAAAGATGTAGGGCAGCAACTAACATTAGCATGCTTTGGACAGCATTGTTCTTGCTTTACAGTGGAGTAAGAGTGTGACTCGGAGGAAATTCTTTGAAAATAACAACAAAAAGTCACTGTGGGAGTGATGGGTTGTATAAATCAAATGCTCCATTTCTGAAAAGATTTGTAGATAAGGGTTAGAATGTGCTCTCATTTCTGAAATCTGGCCGACCCAGAAAGACATTGTGGTAACATCTACCAAGGGAAACTGCTCTGGCACAGCAGGCATAAGGTTCAAAACATAGTTTGGGGGTGGGGAAGAGACATCATTTTGGAGGAAGACAGATATGCAGATCTTTATTCTGTGACTTTGACAGGTGTTTGCCTTTCCTAAGTTTATATTTTTCTTCTGGTAACTGGTAATAAAACCTGCAGTAGGGTGGATGGGGTGGCACACACCTGTAATCTTAGCAACTTAGAACATTTGGGGGAATATTATCATCTTAATAATAATGTCTTCTGATTCATGAACATGGGATTTTTTTTTCATTTGTTCAGATCTTTTTTAATTTCTTCCAGCAGTATTTTGTAATTTTTAGTGCACAACTTTACA